TTGCAAGCTCCACAGGATCCTAAAGCAGCCACCTTTTCTCAATAAGACACCAAGTGAAATATATCTCACATCCTATTTTGGCCATCAGTGAACCATAATGAACGTTTCATTGAGAAAGGTGCTCACATTTTAACTAGATATGTTGCTCATGGACCAACAGAAATTTTGAGCAATTTCGTTTGAAAGCTACAGAATGTGAGCGATGCCCTGCAGTTGTTCTGAACACTCACCCATCAGCTTCTCAAGAAAGGCAAGGTCTATCACAAGGAAACTTTATGTTACATTTGTTTTTATTATTCTTGACTTTTTCATTAAGTTCTTTCAAATATTACAATATCCTTTGAACAGCTCTTTGTGGATTAAGTTAGTTCTCAGACATCTCTGACTGCAAATTCATCCTTGGTGGATGTATTTAGACCATGGTTCCAACAGGGTATGGGCAGCTTTGAAGATCAGTAATTGGGCACGAGTTTTTTCACCTCTACATCCCACTCATGTTAATCATGAAAATGAAATATTCCTGTGTTATAGCTTACATGAAAATGAGGAATTTGGATTTTTACACAACCCTTTGTTGATATGTCTCCATGGCAGTCTGACTGGGCTTCTTTGTAAAGACACTGCTAAATAAAAGCATACAGAGATTTCATCTACACTTGGAAAGCTGAGGCATGATGGAGCTTCAACTGTTCTGTAGATAGACGGATCTCCAGGCTTGTCAACTTTCACATGAAATTTCCATACTCTTACAGTCAAATGCAAATACTTAAAAAAGCCCAAAGATTGCCCCATATTCATATATAATATTAAAAAAAATCCATTTTTTTACTATATCATATCAACATATGAACGTGTCTAAAGGAGAAAATTTGTATATATATGTATAATATAGACACCATAATTTGTTAGACACAGGAATTTTGAGACAAACTCCTTATTGTGTTTTAACTGCCTTGTATGTATGTTTTGAGGGTTTTTTTCATTGTATTTTTGTTTGGGTTTTTTTTACAATCAAAATATGACATCTTACCTTATTAATGCTACAGGTCTTGGACTACAATCCAATTCTAGGCTCCTTCTTAATTGGATCCTGCATAATTTTCATGACATTTGTGGTACTGAATCTGTTCATTTCAGTGATTCTGGTTGCTTTTAGTGAGGAGCAGAAGCACTACCAGGTGTGTTCATCTAAGCTCTCCTGCCATTTTTAACATTTATTGTGCAGTGCTTACTCATGATTTAGGTATTCCACCATCGGATGAAGCCCATGTAAACTCAGTCCAACTCTTGAGAAGTCAACATTTACTCATAAAGTGCGCTTCATATTTTCCAGATTTATGCTGTCCATTCCTGTTCAGACGAATCCCTGTGCAGATTTAGTACAAGATCTGATTTGTAGCCTTCTGTTCACATACTAAATCTGGCAAAAGTCTTAGACTTGTGCTGCAGCTCCACAAAATCAGTGCCAAAACTGCTCCTAAAGTCCTTTACAGCTCCTTTTATAAATGTCACTGTGAGTGCCTAATCCATTCAAGCTACTGATAGCATGGTGTGAAATTCAGCTGAGTACTCCAGTACTGTCCAAAATTCCTCTATGTTTTAAATAAAGTCAAGGCAAATGAAAACAAAGGACATGGTTGATACAAAACAAGATATATTTAGTTTTTATCATTTATTTCATCTAGAAATGGTGGGTGGCTCTTTGCGTATACCACTAGCTGTATGGTAGCTGGCAAGTGAACTTGGGGCTCTTGTAGCAGGATTTCCCTGGGCTTTGACAGAGCCAAAACTTCTGTAATGTCCGCGCTCACTCATGCTTATTTGGGACTTTTGCCTCAATAAAAATATTGGCATGATGTTTTGCTTTGGCAGTTACCCATGCTCTGCTTAGAGTGAAAGTTCATAGAATCACAGAAGTTGGTTTATTTAATCTCAAATAGAGATTTTCTCTTGCAACTTTCTCTGGTTTCAGCAGAAACTGCATCTGCTTCTGGTCTGTGCGTCTGAGTAACTTCTCGTTGTTATTTCAGGCTTCAGAAGAAGAGGAGATTGTTGATCTAATGCTAATGAAACTTTTCAGTTTCTTCGGGATTAAATGCAAGAAGGAAGAGAAGCCAGTCACTAATGATCAACCTGAATAACTCGCTAATGATTACATGATAACCACAATGAAAAGTCACTTCGGGGGTGAAAGACTCACTTTTAACTATCAGCTGCAGCGGCTAGACTTAGATTATCACGGTTTCTGACTAAAATATTGTGGCACTCAACCAATAAACTGTTGCTGACATGTTATTTTGGAGTATTAGCTAAGAAATAACGCTGAACCTAACATAAAGCATCCCACGCGCGCTTCCTGTAGACTTCGCATCTGCCTTTAATAAACACTGACCGCTCGTTGCACCGTTCGACTGAAAACATTCGTTTAGCGCCGTCAGGGCCGTGGAAAAGTGGCGACCCCCTGAGGCCGCCCTCCTCCCGCCTCAGGCCCGGCGGCCCAGCACGAAGCAGCGGCGCTCCGCGGCTGCCAG